GCTGATCAAGACCTGCTTTATTCATTCAATAACCAATCCAGGACAATTCTCCATGTAGATATGTAAATGTATGCATATACATTTAGACACATTACCATTTCTATGGCTGCAAGAAATTGCATCCTAAGACTATATCATGATTTATTTAATAAATCTCCTGACACATACTTACATTAGTTCCAACTTTCTATTGTTATGCGCAATAACATGATGAATATTTGGACATACTTTTTGTGAACTGTCCAGTATACTCCTTTGGATAAATTTCTAGAATTAGTATTGCTAAGTCAAATGGTATGCATATTATAAATATGTGTATAGTCAAAGGCTCCATAGGAAAATTTGCATGAATTCACAGTCCCACTGGGAGAGCATTAATGTTTGTCTTTCTCCATGTACCCACCGCCATTAGGTCTTGTCAAGCTTTTCCAACTTACCCAGTCTAAATCTACAGAGGCTGAAAATTTTTTATAAATCAAATATTTCAATTTCTGTGTCTGCGGGTATAGCCTCTTCCCATACACACAAAACGTCCCAATCACAGTAGCAAATCAAGTCCCAAACCAAATTACACCACCACATCTAACGACAACCATAAAATCCATAAAATACCTACAACATGCATAAAATACATTTGCATAACTTGGATGGATAAAAGGATATAACTATCCTGCAGATAATAAAGAACACTTACGCGTCAGGGGCACAATTTCCTCGATGTTAAAGAGACATTATATTATAAACTACCTATTCCCCACATGAATATATAAATTTAATTCAATCCAATCAAAATCCAAATGAGTTTTCTGAAAACGGCTTGAGTGTCATTTCTTTTAGTTCATTGGGAACTAGATAGAACTATGACCCTAGCTAGGAGCATAATAAAAAGGAGGGTGATGAGGCTTGTCCGGATATATTTTAAAAGAATAGCTACCATACAGAAGTTAAACAGTGAGGAAGAGTGAAGAAAGAGGTGCTTTAGTGAAAACAAAAGGAATAGAATTTCAGCCACGTAGGTGAGAATTCAGCATTTGAAAGCAAAGGGGGAAATTCAGACATGTTAATCACTAGTTTAAGGAAACCGAGTAAACATCTGACCGGAAAAACAAAACGTGATTCCCAATGCATTCCTTCTATCCAAATAGACTCCAATTATCACAGAGGTTCAAATGTAAAGAAAAAAATCAATTAAGATACCTTTGTGATCTTGATATAGGGTAGATTGTTCTAAGAATGTCACAAATATCAGGAACCATAGAAAAAGACAGAGAAGGTGGACAACATAAAGTTTCAAACACTTCTTTAAAGCACATTTAAGCAGATTTTAAGCTGTTCTACCTGAAGCAAGCAGTGTCTGTGAGCACAGATATGAAGGAAATAGACCAATATACAGAATAGGGGTGCCTGGGTAGTTCAGTTGGTTAAGCATCCAGCTATTGGTTTCAGCTCAGGTCATGATCTCATGGTTTTGTGGGTTTGAGCCCCACGTCAGACTCCATGCTGACAGTGTGGAGCATGCTTGGGATTCTCTGTCTTCCTCTCTCTGTGCCTCCTTCCAAACGATATGCAGAACAGACCTAAGAACTCAGAAAGATGATTGCTGTGAGACTTTTTTTTTTTTTTTTTTGAGAGTGAGAGAGAGAAAGTGAATCTTACTCAGCTCCAGACTCCATGCTCACCTTGGGGCTGGGTCCCATGACCCTGGGATCATGACCTGAGCCTAAATCTAGAGTGAGACACTCAATGGACTGAGCCCCTCAGGCACCCCGTGAGACTATCTTTATAGGGACACAGAACCCTACGCATCAATAGAACAATAATGTATAATCATAATAATTATTTAATTGTACAAGAAAAAGTTGAATTAACATACAGTGGTGTCTATTTAAGAAGAAATTGAAATGAAACTGTAACCCATCCAGTTTTCCACACAAAAATGTTACGACTAAGTCTTTGAAATTCAATTCTCAGGGATAGACTTCCACCTATCCAAAAATCTTTGACATCCCAAATGATTTATTTCCTAATGTTTCTGGGAAGTCAAACGAAAACAAATAGTGAATGAACCAAGAGCAGAGACCATACATCCTTTTATTTTGTTGTATCATTCTTAGTGTTACACAGAATTCTGGCATTTGAATAAGGATGCGTCACTGGAGGTATGCGAATTATGTTGAACTTCCTAAGCCCCAAGTCAGTATCTAGGGCCCACGCTAGGCTTCTGCCCACTGCTATGATCCTGTCACACAGTAGAGTGACAAGGGCAGGTGTCATTTATACAATGTGGAACAGCAGCACTGGCCTGGCCGACTGCATAGCCTGTGGCCAGAACACCACCCTAATACATGTGTAGGGAGCCCTGCCTTTAGGGATTAGATCTCAGTACAACTCACAGAAGGATGGTGTGTGCAAGAACGTCGCAGCTGGGGCACAAAGACCTCAAAAGTCTCCTAAAATGATGACAGAGCCTCCAGGGCTACCATCAGGATGCCACAGCTGTGCTAAGAACCTCACCACCATTATCTCTTGTAATCCTCAAATGATCCTGTGAAGGAGCTACCTTATCATAGACACACTATTGTCTGTATCCTTCTTTTGAGAATTTGGAAACCAAGAAACAGAAAGGTTGAGGGGCTTGCCCAGGGTCTCAAAGCTAGTACGCGACAGCACCGATTCTGATCATGTGGCTCACGCTCCCTCTCCCCATAATGGGACCTGGCAGGTCAGCTCCCTTCTCTGAGCCTCAGCAGCGGTTATGGGACAACCCCTGGGGTCTTCTCCAATCCCCATGAGTAGATTCACACTCTGATCTTGCTTCCCGCAGAAGTCTGGGGATGGGGCGCAGATCTGGTGTGGAGCCTGAACAGTCAGGAAGCCAGAAGCGTCAAGGAGAACGTCCCCTGCCACCTACACCGAGTTTATTATGATGCAAATAAGACTGTTCCTCTTTTATTTTGCCCAATAAAAATGTTTAGGAAACATAAAGACAGTTTGAATTCACCCAGGGACAAACCGCTCACCTCGCTATAGCATCTTGGCTTGAAGACGGAAAGAGGCTACTTCACAAAGTAGATTGGGAAAAAATAGAAAAATTGCCTGCTTTCCACCTTGCAGGAAGTGTGCAGGCCGTCCAGGCTCTGACTTAGTCTCTCCCAGAATTGCTAATCTGCAGAGAAGTCTCAGAATTAGGGTGTTGCCCTTGGTTTACCTAAATGAGACGTTACTAGGGTAGGGGAGGAACAGAGCGGAAATGGAGTTCTGGGAAGATGTTAATATACAGTTTCCCCCTGGGTAGGAATAGGTCACCAGGCAGCAGGTGACAACCACTGAGGACTTCTATACAGCCTGCCAAAAGTTCTCAGCCCCCACAATGTCCTTGAATATTAAATTCTGAACCCCAAAGTCCGTACAATACATTCGGGCACTGATCAAATATCATTCAAATGTCAATCTTTTCTAACAAGTTTCATTGCCTAGATAACCTTTCTCGAATTTAGGGTGCTAAAGACTGTCAATTTTGAATTTTTTTTTACATTTATTTATTTTTTGAGAGACAGGGCACAAGTGGAGGAGGGGCAGAGAGAGAAGGAGACACAGAATCCGAAGCAGGTTTTAGGCTCCGAGCTGTCAGCACAGAGCCCTACGCAGGGCTCGAACTCACAGACTATGATATCATGACCCGAGCTGAAGTCAGACACTTAACCAACTGAGCCACTCACGTGCCCCCAGAAGGTCAATTTTGGAATGACTTACACATTTGTATCATCAGCTCCAGCCACCCCGCTGAACTCCAGTCTCGAGCACACCTTTTCTGATTACAGTCCTGAGAATCTCACTCCTGGTGCCTGAAAGTAAACTCCTGGCCCTGCGTCTCCCCAGCTCACCCCTCCCCTGGAGGCCACATCTCAGGCTATGAAGCCACCACTCCCACAGCTGGGCATGACCAAAAAATATTTTTCTAATGCCTCTCATCCCACGTTCTCCATCGGCAGGTGCCACTGCCTCTACCTGCAAAATAAACCCTGAATTGGACGTTTACCTGCCACTGCCATCACTTCTCACCTGGGCTGCCGTAATTACCGTCACTGCTCTCCGGGCTGACACTGGGGGCCACTGTTGCCCATCTCCCACACAGCAGGCACAGTGAGATCACATCACTTCCCTCCTCAAAACTTTAAAATGGTTTCCCATCCCTCTTCACATCTCAAGTAATCACCACAAGCTGTAGGGACTGTGAGACTGGCTCATAGCTACCTCTGGCCTCACCTCCCGCCTCTCTACTTCAGTTGCTCTGTTCCAGCCACACCGGCCACCAGGGTTTCCTCGAGGATACTCTTGTGGTCTACATTGTGTTCTCCCCAAATTCATATGTTGAAGTCCTAACTCCCAACACTTCATAATGTGACTACTTACAGTCTTTGAAGAGGGAATTAAGTTAAAATGAGGCCATCAGGGTGGGTGCTAATCCAATATGGCTGCTGTCCTTCTAAGAGGAGATTAGGACACTGACACATCCAGAAGGAAAAGCATGTGCAGACTTGGGGGCAAGACGGTCGCCTACAAACCAAGGAGAGAGGCCTGGAGCAGATCCTTCCCTCAATGTTCCCAGAAGGAAACAGCCCTGTCAAGACTGCAACCCCAGACCTCCATCAGAACTTCAAGAAAATAAACTTCTGTTGTTTAAGCCCCCCAGTCTCTGGGACTTTGTTATGCAGCTCTGCTTGCTAATACAGATGCCGTCACCCAGGGGCCTCACCGCTCAATTCAGAGCACTGGCCTTGGCTTTGGACAAGAGCAAATTCTTCAGGAAGAGTCTATAGTCCAACAGCATGTGCAACGTGAAAGGGGTGCTGCTTAAGGGTGCCGCCTTTCCAGGAGTCGTGAAACATGCCCACACCACTACCACAGACTCTCCCAAAAATTCTCCCGGGGAAGTGCTGTCCTGCCTCCGTCCTCCTTACCTCCAAATGCTTTTCACAAGTTCTACAGTGACAGACAAACATTATTTAAGCCTTTAATCCAGAAATACCCGAGTTAGTCTACAAAGTACAATGGTTCTTGCAAGACAAACTTCCCAACTAGGTAGTAGAGTCTGTCCCTTACAGATGGGGAGGCTGGGACAGATCCCAGAACCACCAGGAGACACGATGAACAGGAATCAGTCATGGCTTGAACTGGGAGGTGAGAGACAGAAAGGCATCGATGGTGACTCATACCCAGGTGTGTGGTCACGTCCTCCATGAAGCCTGGGGCTTGGGGAAAGAGCTGGCAAGAGATCTGGGAAGTAAGGTGCTGGCTCCGTTTGGGGCATCCTACGTTAGAGCGGCCTGCGGACAAGGTGTAAATTACCAGTCATGTTGGAAGGAAGGACTGGGACCCTCCAGATGGGACCGGGTTTTGCTGGAGTTCCTGGACCACCCTGGGTGCCGAAATTTACACACCTTGTGCTGCAGGATGAAAGTCTCCCGTCCTTGACCACGTGTGCACAGTAGGTCCCCCTAGACTTCCCTTCTCCCGCCTGCCAGCCAGCAGCCAAGTATTCATTTAGGGAGGAATTCTCCATATATTGACTTAAGTTCATCGGACCTTGGGGCGCCTGGGTGGCTCAGTGGTTTGAGGGTCTGATCTTGATTTCGGCTCAAGTCAAGATCTCACGGTTCGTGGGTTCGAGCCCCACATCGGGCTCTGTGCAGACAGCACCATGGAGCCTGCTTGGGATTCATTCTCTCCCCCTCCTTCTCTCTCTGCCCCTCTCCCGCTTACACACTGTCTCTCTCTTGCTCTCAAAATACACAAACTTTAAAAAAAAATTCATGGGACCTTAAGTGCCATGTGCATGCACACCCAGGATCCTCTATCACATCATTCTGCTTGTTTCCTTCAGGACACTTGGCCGGCATCTGAAATGGTCCTGTTTATGTGTCTCCTTGTTCAGTCCTGCTTCCACAGCCTCCAACTTCTGTGAGGGCAGAGATGGTCCCAGCCGGGACCGTCTACCTGCTCAAGGGACCACATCCCTGTTGAAATTCCACATTCATATTACATGGCTCTACCCTGCAATTCTGTTGAAACATGTTCCCCGGGCATCGTGGGCCAGCCCCACAAGCTTTTCAAGATAAAAGCAAGTCTAAAAACTTGAGGATTAAAGCCATTTAGCAATTCTCCATTCGTTCCACTGAAGTTTGGACTCAAATGTTTAAAATTGTGAGCACAGACTAAGCCTTGTGTGTGAGGAGCCCCGATCTTCCAGAGCAGACAAGCGGATGGCACCATTCTGGGCTCAGAGCCCAGCTTTTCCTTCATTGTGTGCGCTTGAACAGATCACTGCATCTCTGTGCTTCTGTTTCCCTCCTCGTAAAAGGGAATCATATAGCACCTAGTTACTATTAACAGTAGTAACGAGTTACCACCATAGGGGGGTGGTGTTAGCACGGGTCTGGCACAGGGCAGGCAGAATGCTTGTGTTGAGTGTTTGTTACTGTCACTACTATGACATCATCATGGCTGCTGCCACCTGCTGTATTGCCTCGGACCCGGAGCTCCTCGAAGAACGTGTAAAGCCCACAAAGTCCCACGGCCGTTTTAACCAGAATTTGACTACTCATCCTTCTGTGGTTTTCTCTGCTGTCTCTGCCTTTAAGAGCTAAGTGGGAATAGCCCATTCCTGGGAAAGTCTCTCCGGCCTCCGTCACCCACTGGAGAGAGTCCCAGGAGACGGCTGCCCTCAGCTACTTGTCCGGCACAGGGCTTTCCTCGGCCACGATTTCGGCCACCTCCACAAACCTTATGCTGCTGTTCCCTGGAGCAGAATGTGTACCAGTCACAGCTTCCCCCTGAGCTCCAGCCCTTCCAAAGTGGGGGAACCAGGGGCAAATGAATAGTTGGTTTCCATCCATGTTTTTAAAAGGTAGGTTTTATTATTATTCAGGAATGATGAGGTCAACTGATCAGGAGATGAGTGCCATCGTAAATTGAGTTTTATTACTATTCCCAAAAGGAAGAGGGCATCCCTTGTGCCATGAGGGGAGCAGGGCCAGTCAGTGGGCAGAGGTGCAGGGGACTGTGGGCACAGGTTTTTGTGGTGGTTCCCACGGGAAGGAGTGGGTGAGGTGGGCGACACAGGTTTAGGACTGGGTGGTCTGAATAACCAGTGGGCTTCAGGACCCTCCTTGTCTGGCCCGTAACCTGGGGTTAATACAGCAGGTGCACAGTGGCCCCGAGTGTGAGAGTCTGATGGTGGAGGTGGCTGGGCTGTGGGCTCTGGTCTGGTGGGCTCATACACGAAAGCGTTTGGAGTAGGGACAGACCCTCCAGGGTCAGCCAGGCCCCAGGTGTCCAAGCAGCAGACCCTCCTCTGTGTGAGGGCAGGAGACCACCCGCCTCACTTCAGCGGCTCACCAGCACGTGACAAACACAGCCTTCTCACCCTTCCCAGACTCCATGCTCGTGCTGCACAAGCGGGGACTCCTGCTTGCCGTCCGGGCGATGCCTCTGACTCTCTCTGCCTCTCACCTCTGGAGGTGAGCCACAAGGTCTGAGCCCAGTAAATGATTAAGCCCTTCTTTGTTCCCAGCGTTGACTCTTAGTCACTGTTTCAAGGAAATTCATGGAGTCCCTGAACTAGGCCAAGCACAAGACAGATCACATGTGCCTCCCTCCCTGTCTTGAGCCAGGGAACAGGGTTCGCTCTTCCTGGGGGGCTAATGCCCACTGTTGCACCAAAGGTCGTAGGGAATTATTATTGAAAAATAAACCGGGGCGCCTGGGTGGCTCAGTCGGTTAAGCGTCCGACTTCAGCTCGGGTCATGATCTCATGGTCTATGAGTTCGGGCCCCTCATCGGGCTCTGTGCTGACAGCTCAGAGCCTGGAGCCTGCTTCTGATTCTGTGTCTCCGTCTCTCTCTGCCCCTCTCCTGCTCATGCTCTGTCTCTGTCTCAAAAATAAATAAAAACATTTAAAAAAATTTAAAAAAAGAAAGAAAAAGAAACCACAATAGAAGGCTGTGTGAGCTGACAGTTCAGAACTACTGGTAGTAAAATATAGGAACACACTGATCAGATTACGAAACGTAGGGTCTTTGCCTTGCTAGGGACTTGTCCTGACCTCACCGCCAGCTCATGAGCAGAATCCAGCCGGGTGGGTAGTGAGTTGCAGAGAGTCGAAGGGGAAGCTCGGGGCTCGGTAGAGACATCCCATATCTTATGGCGATGTGGGTGACAGAGGTGAAACGCATTTGTCAACTCATCCTACTGGACGTTCAGGATCTGTGCTTTTCATGTCCTGCAAATCATGCTTCAATCAAAACCTGGCAAATACAACGTGTAGCCTTTGTAAAAATGTCCGTTATGTCTAGACGTTAAAAATGGATAAATAAAGAGGCCGGGAGGAGGTGGAGGAGGGGCATCAAGGATCACTTCTACTGGACTTCTCGCCAAATTCTCCGCGAAGTTTCCTGCTATCTTTGCTCCGCCTGGCAGGACGCGCCTGTGCAGCCAGAACTCGTCAAGGTCCTTGGCACGTTCGCTTCAGACACCTCAGCCTGTCCGCCTGGGGCAGGAACACAGACCGGTGGTGGAGCCGTGCGTGTAGACGGCCCCGTGCAGCTCCCAGACCTCAAGCGCACGCTGCCAAGGGGAGCAGAGGGGAAAGTGGCGTCTTGTGTCCTGACTTACCTGCCCAGAGTCATAGCTGAAGGTGATGACCTGTGGGCTGCCCCAGGGGCAGCCCAGCTGCAGTGGGCGGGCAGAGGTCAACGTCAAAGCCAAGGAGCCCCAGCCCCAGTCTCACGACACCAACTTTCACCTAAGCCGGATACTCCTGAATCAGCACGGGTGTGCTCTAGGCACCTGCTCCTGCCCGCGCCCCCCCCCCCCCCCCCGTGCCTTCTCCGGATATCCCCTGCTCGGATATTTCTGTAGATGAGCCCCCAGCAGTAAGCAAACAGAGAAAGCCCTCCCCCAAACGGGACGGGGTAAGAGCATTCCAGGACAGTAACACCACGAGTGCCTCCCCATTTCAAACAGCCCCTCCCTGTATCATCTCATTTCCTTCCCTACACAAACGGAGAGGGAAATAGAGCCACGGGCACTGCTTCCCAGGAGACCGTAGGGTAACAGGGGCGGACTGGGGTCTCCCTGAAGCCCAGCGGCCAGCAGCTGTGGGGCTTCATTTGCTCCCTGCACACCCACCTCCTCCACGCACTCACCTCCCACCTCCCACTGGCACGTGGATCACAGGAGGTGACCCAGGTGGCTGTCCTGACTTGCCTGTACGCACTCGGTGCTACAGGATCACGATGCACATCACGGTCCGTCCCCAAGACCAGACAGGTCGAGGGCGAGCTATAGAAAGAGGAGGGAGAGAGGGAGGGAAGGGAGAGAAGCAAGAGCAATGAAAAGCGAACATCACTGCACTTTATACCCCACAATGTAAAATAATAAGAAAACCACTCGGCTTCGGCTCAGGTCACCATCCCACGCTGGCAGCACGGAGCCTGCTTGGGATTCTCTCTCTCCCTCTCTCTCTCTCTCTCTGCTCCTCCCTAACTCACACGCGCTCCTGTTCTCTCTCTCGCTCTCAAAATAAATAAATACACATTTTTTAAAAATAATAAGTCCCCAGGATTGTTCAAGGGACCTTCAGCGTGACCTGGAATACCAATGGGCAATCAGGAAGGTGTGTCCCCATAAGGGAATACGACTCTTGTAAGTGAGGTAGCTGCTCACATAAGCACACTCAAGGCTCCGGTATTATCTGTATTTGACAAACGAAAACAATTTTTATTGTTGTTTTTGTATTACGACCTTCAAGGAGGTTTGGACCAAATCTCACCTGACGAAAATATGGAGCAAATTCAATGATTCCCAAGAATCCTTGGGCGGAAGAGGGGAGGATACGAGTGTGGGGTTTTCATGTTTATCAGAAGGGACATGGGTTTTTCTGGCTGCAGAACAATGAGAGAGGAAGGCCATCCCCCTGGTGATGGAGTGGCAGTGCGTCTCCCGCCACTAGGGGGCGACAGCACGCCCCTCAAGCTGGGATCATTTACTCCTCGGAATGATGCTTTCTGGGCACCAAGCCAGGGATGCCAGATGGTTTACCACTGTGCCCACTAAAGAGAAAGTGATTTTGGAGAAAACAGAAGAATCCAAAACGCGAGGGAAACTTACATTGGAGAAAGGATGTTACCACATACAAAAGGCGACATCCACCCCATCCTACCTGCCAACAGAACCCGGGGGGCTGCCCTCCACCTCCCTCCTGGCAACCACATCCTTCAGAGCAACACTTCCCAGTCGCCCCCTGGTGAAAACACTTTCTTTTGAAGTGTGTGTGCCAACTCTTGATGTCCTTTGAAAACGTACAAATGATCAATCCTATTTCTATTATTAGATCCAACAGACATAAAAGAACATTTCAATAAATGTAAGTTCTTGCAATACATGTACTGTAATAACTTACTGCATGTATTGTTATTATTGCAATAAATATAATTTCAAAAATCAGAACAGAAACAACAAGAAGGAGAATGTCTCCACACACACATTGTTCGCTAGAAGTGAGTTTACAGGCCCTGAACATAGACAATCATTGTTCTGTTTGTAACATTCTGTACTTCCTCACCTGGGATTAAACAAAAATTATTAGTACGCAGTGATAACCCACAGGAAAGGCCTATAAATGTCTGGACACATCTGGAGTTAAAGTTTGCTCTTTTTTGGTTAATATTTACATTAATATGAGAATAGTTCTACTGTCAGTGAATACTCGAATCTAACCATTCTTATGCTTTGTCTCAAAACACTGTTAAAAAAAAATGTCTCACGGGATTATTGACAGGAATGAAAGCAGGGGGTGTCAAAAATTGGCAAGCGCTTCAGCAACCTCAGAATCTTCTTTCTTAACCTTTGTGCAAAATGAAGACAGTTATTCTGTATTTTTAGATGGCTTTAACCCTTCTGCATTTCCAACAATTAAAGGTTTGATTTGAATTATCTTTCCATGAAATAAATTGATTCTGGACCTGTATTTTCAATGCCCATATCTTATTTGAAGGAATTTAAAATTAGAATGCTCTACCTACACCATAGGCTGTTCAGTGATAACTCTTAGCTGTTGTGCAGTTAATTTATGAAAAACGTCACAACACTTGTTCTGTTCTTCCAGGCGTTTTACTTTAATTTTTGCCCTTTATTTTCATGCCGTCATGGTCTGAAAGTATTAAGATCATTAAAAAAACACTGCCTTTACGGTGCTGAAGCTTGTTATTTTGATGTAGTCCCAACAGTTTATTTTTGATTTTTTTCCCTCCTGCTTCAGGAGACATATCTAGAAAAATGTTGCTAACACCAATATCAGAGACATTACTGCCTGTGCTCTCTTCTAGGGTTTTTATGGTTTCAGGTCTCACATTCAGGTCTTTAATCCATTTTTGAGTTTATGTTTGTGTAGAGTGAGAGAAAGTGGTCCAGTTACATTCTTTTGCATGTGGCTGGCCAGTTTTCCCAACGCCATTTCTTGAAGAGACTGTCTTTTTATGTTGGGCACTCTTTCCTGCTTTGTCAAAGATTAAGGAAACAATCAGCACAACTAAAAGACAACCTGCTGAATGGGAGGAGAGATGTGCAAATGACATATCCAATAAAGGGTTAGTATCCAAAATATATAAAGAACTTGTACAACTCAACACCGAAAAAACAATCCAATTAAAAAATGGGCAGGGGCGCCTGGGTGGCTCAGTCGGTTAAGCGGCCGACTTCGGCTCAGGTCATGATCTCGCGGTCCGTGAGTTCGAGCCCCGCGTCGGGCTCTGTGCTGACAGCTCAGAGCCTGGAGCCTGTTTCGGGTTCTGTGTCTCCCTCTCTCTGACCCTCTCCTGTTCATGCTCTGTCTCTCTCTGTCTCAAAAATAAATGAACGTTAAAAAAAAAATTTTTTTTTAAAAAGTGGGCAGAACAGAAGGTAGGGGGAGGATCCAAGATGGCTGAACAGCATGGAAGCTTTTTGTGTGTCTCACGCCCGTGAAATACAGCCAGACCAACACTAAACCATCCTACATATCTAGAAAACCGATTGGAGGATTAACACAACAATCTGCACGACCTGAACCACAGAATTTAGCGGTATGCGGCGCAGACAGGTGAATTTGGGGAGCAAGAAGCCGCAAAAGGTAGAGAACCGCTTTTGAGGGCGGAGAGAGGACAGAGACTGGGGAGGCAGGGAGAATACGGGAAAAGCACCCCTTCCCGAAAGCAGCTAGAGAGAAAGTGGAAAACTGGAAACGGCCACAGGGACTAAACTAAAAAGGGAGAAAGGAGAAAGGAGAGGGTTTAAATTCCATTAAGACTGTAAACAAGGGGAGCGCAAAGGCTGCAGCTCCACAGCTCCATACCTGGCAGTGCTCTGGTGGGAAGGGCGAATCCCCAGGAACAGAGGGGGGTCTGCGAGGTTCTCGGGCCACACGGGGAAAAGCGGTTCCACTGCTGGAAGGGCATTTGGGAGAGACTGTTGAAGCCACCTGGTCCCAGCAGACCCCGGAAGGCGGCCACATTCGCCGGTGCTGGGTCAAGGTCATTAAGGGTGAAGCCAGGTGCCAGATGTGTGTTGGGATTTTCCATAATCCCTGAGACGCTGCTGCTACACTGTCTCGCGGACTTTTTCTGGGACGGGCTGGCACCTGGCCGCAGTCTCAGGGCACCAACAGCAGCAGGGTCCAGCGGGTGTTCCTGGGGGCAGCCGACATTCGGCCATTGCTCATTCGGCCATTGCCCGGTGAGAGCCTCCGGCAGACGGGCGGAACGGGGCAAAGCCGCAGTCGTTCGGAAGTAAGGGGCCGGGGAAAACAGCCGCATCTGAGACAAAACTCGGGAGAGAGGTACTGCCTGGGGCCTGGTCACGGACACTGGAAAAGCGGGGAGTGCACGAGAGCTGAAGACGGAGGACCAGTGCACCATTGCTGATCCGGGAGAACACACTGGGTAGCTGCGTGGAGGCAGGGTCACCGCTCCCGCGCATGCGCATGCGTACCTACAAGCTCCGCAACAATCCACCCCAGCAGGCTAGCAGCGCCACCTAGTGGAGAGCGGAGACGTTACACTGAGCCCCACCCCATTGGGCCAACTTCGCTCTTCAAGAACACAAGTCTCACCGCTGGCTTAATTTATGGACTATAAAGAGCTACATAGACTGACTTCTAGGGGAAAACGAAGCAATTTCAGTCCTAATTCAATCTATTAGCAGTCCTACTTCATCTATTTAATTTTCTTTCTTTTTTTTCTTTTTTGTTTTTCTTTTACAATTCTTTTCTTTTTCTTGAATACAGAAAGAGAAATAATTCATTTTTATTTTCAATTTTTATTAAAAATATCTTTCTTTAATTTTTATTACTATATTTTTACTTTTCTGTAAATGTTTTCAAATTCTACTTTACTTCCATCATTTTATTTTAGTCTACTTCAGGGTATTCACCTTTTCAAATTTTCAAACAATTTCTTTTTTTCTTTTTCTTTTTTCTTTTTCATTTCTATTCTTTTTCTTGAATACAGAAAGAAAAACTTCATTTTTATTTCAATTTCTTTTAAAAATTTTTAATTTTTATTAGTATATTTTTTATGTAAATGTTTTCAAATTCTATTTTGCTTCCATCATTTTATTTTAGTCTACTACAGTGTATTCACTTCCTCAAATTTTCAAACGATTTCTTTGTTTTTCTTTTTTTATCTTTTTTACCTTTATTTCTTTTCTTTTTTAAATACAGAAAAAGAAAAATTCATATTTATTTTTAATTCTTCTTAAAATATTTTTCCTTAATTTTTTCCTACTACATTCTTTACTTTGTGTATATTTTTTCAAATTCTATTTTACCCCCATTATCTTATTTTAGTCTACTTCAGTGTATTCATTTTTTTAAATTCTCAAAGAAATTCCTTTGTTTTCCTTCCCCCCCTTTTTTTTCTCTAATCTGTCAAACCACTTTCAACACCCAGACCAAAACACACCTAGGATCTAGCATCATCTATTCGATTTGTGTGTGTGTATGTGTGTATTTAATTTTTAATTTTAATATTTTTCTATTTTAATTTTTTTAATTTCAATTTTTCTACCTGATTAATTCCTGTTCTCCCTTCAAAATGACAAAACAAAGGAATTCACCCCAAAAGAAAGAGCACGAAGAAATGAAAGCCAGGGATTTAACCAACACAGATACAAGTAATACATCTGAACCAGAATTTAGAATCATTGATAATAAGAATACGAGCTGGAGTTGAAAATAGATTAGAATCCCTTTCTGCAGAGATAAAAGAAGTAAAAACTAGCCAGAATGAAACAAAAAATGCTATAAC